GGGGAGCCGACCTTGTTGGTAGGGCTGGGGCTAGTGATGCGTGAACTCCTTTACCCTAGCCGTTTGCACGTGCGCAGTAGGATGCCTGCAATTGTGGTTACTACACGCGCATCTGTGCAAGTGCCAACGGCTCAGAGAAAGGAGCTGTGGCAGATAAAAGGTATTTCAGTCTTCCTTACCGCTGCATGCTGAAATGCAGCGTATCTGCATAGCCACACCCATCACTAGGTCTTATTATCGGGGTAGGTAGGGCTTATACTTAACAAATGCATAGAAATCCTGCTAGGACTTATTCTTTGGGTAGGTCTTATTTTTGGGGAAACACAGTAAGAGGTTGGTATGTGGGGATATTGGGAGGACATAGAGACAGGTCCGAAGTTTGGGCTGAGAAATAGATACTTAACCCAGAAAGAAGTAGTCTTGATATGTTACTGAACAGCAGAATGACACAAAATGGGAAATGACTAAATCCTTGGTTCATGGTAACATTTGTGAGCTTAGTTTAATGAAACATTTTTATTATAGTAAATCTCCAAGATAACATTTTTTAAAGCTTGTCAGAAGTTAAATGGTATTGCTCTATGTATGAAGAAAGATTATATATTTTTAAAGAGAAGTACCACATTAATATTTACCCTTATTTAAAAGTTATAAGTCTCCTAAAATATCAAGAAAAATCTTCTAAAACCTACAAGAAACAATGTTTTTGATAATAAATTTGCAAGTGATAAATGTAAAGAACAATATGTAAAAAAAAGCTAAGGTGAAATTACTGTAAAATACGGGGTGTCCATAAAGTTCGTGTGCAAACTTAGAGACACCTACTATATAGGCAGACTATATCAAATAATAGTCTTGATACCTACTATAAAATAGATGATGAAATGATAGAATAGTATTGGAGACAGAGTCTCAAGCTGTCACCTTCAGTAGAGTGCCTTGGCGTCACAGCTCACAGCGACCTCCAACTCTTGGGCTTAAGCAATTCTCTTGCCTCAGCTTCCCAAGTAGCTGGGACTACAGGCGCCCTCCACAATGCCTGGCTGTTTTTTGTTGCAGTTGTCATTGTTTAGCTGGCCTGGGCTGGGTTCGAACCCGCCAGCCTTGGTGTATGTGGCTGCCACTGTAACTACTGTGCTACAGGCATGGAGCTATACTGTGTATTTTGTTAAACTAAGTTCCCAAACTGCTGCATATATTACTTTTTATCTCTTATAACTCTGAGAACTAGCACAATGGGATGGCTACATAATAGTCTTCCCTTATCCCTGGTGGAATTGCTCTAAGACCCACAGTGGATGTCTGAAACTGGGTAGTACACAATTTTATGTATACTGTGTCTTTTTTTATTTTTTCAGTTTTTGGCCAGGGCTGGGTTTGAACCCACCACCTCTGGTATATGGGGCCAGCGCCCTACTCCTTTGAGCCATAGGCGCCCCCCTGTATACTGTGTCTTTTCCTATACATACATACCTATGATAGTTTAATTTATAAATCAGTCATAGCAGTGTACTTTGGGGCCATTAAGTAAAATAAGGGTTACTTGAACATAGGCACTGTGATACTGTGACAGTTGATATGATAACTGAGACGGCTAGTAAGCAACTAACAGGTGGGTAGTCAGTACAGTTGTACAGTGGACAGATTCACATGCTGGATGGATAGAGCAGGACAGCAAGAGATTTCATCATGCTACTCTGGTGTACAGTTTAAAGGAGGCGTCCTCAAACTATGGCCCGCGGCCCACACAGGACATTTATCCAGGCCACTGGATGTTTTTGCTGCTGCTGCCTGTCCCACTTAGCAGCCCACTCGTCCCAGGGCCTGCAGTCTGGCCCTCCAACGATCTGAGGGACAGTGAACTGGTCCCCTGTTTAAAAGTTTGAAGACCCCTGAAAGCTTATGAATTCTCTGGAGTTTTCTGGCTAATATTTTCAGACTTTGGGTAACTGAAATCACAGAAAGCAAAACTGTGGACAAGGGGGGACTATTGTAAAGACTTTGTCGTCCATTAATACTTATGAAGCATGTGAGAATAAATGAAATGTTTAAAATACAAACCTATAACCATACCTAAATATGAGGCAAATGACTATCCCCAAGTCCAAAGTGTAAATGAGATACTTAACAGGTATAAATGCTTATCTTTCAACGCTAATAAAAATACATTATGTTTTCATAATTGAGATATTTAGTTTCTCAGACAAAGATAGGAAAAGGGCAAGTTGAGAATTCTAAGCCATTGAGCTAAGAGGTGACTACATTGGCCTCAGGCCACTCCATGATGCTAAGTCCTCAAAATTCCTGGTGAGACTGCTCTCATCACCTTGCCAGAATGTTTCAAAAACTGCTCTCCTGGCAGCGCCTGTAGCTCAAAGGAGTGAGGCGCCAACCCCATATGCCGGAGGTGGCGGGTTCAAACCCGGCCCCAGCCAAAAACTGCAAAAAAAAAAAAAAAACTGCTCTCCTAAAAGCTCCTGTCTGTCAGCATGCCTGAAGACACCAAGTGTGGGTTAGCTGCTTCTCAGGGCTTTTTTGGAAGCCAGCCTCCCAAAGCATTATGGCATTTGGGAAAGCTGGCCCTCCAAGCAAGATGTGCCTGGGCAGCATCTCAGCCGACCTTTCTTATCTCAGAAGTGAGCTCACACAAGAGAGAGAAAGTTATAGAAACCCACATTTTGGCCTGTGGAGAGAGGTCACTTCCGTAATAGGAATAAAAGCAAGCTGTGGTGCTCGTGTAGTCCCCAACCATGGGGCTGTCCATGGCTTATGGAACAGGGCACATAGCGGTGACCAAGCAAGCAAAGCTTCATCTGTACTTAGAGGTGTTCCCTGTCGCTCACATTACCGCCTGAACTGTCAGACCCGTGGGGGCATTAGATTCTCTTAAAGAATGTGAATCCTACTATAAACTGCATGTGAGGGATCTAGGCTGTGCACTCCTTATGAGACTCTAATGTCTGATGATTTGATCTGATGTGCAGATGTAATAAGCTTGAATCATTCCTAAACTATCCCCCTAATCCCATCTGTGAAAAATTTGTCTTCCTTGAAACTGGTCCTGGTGCCAAAGAGGTTGGGGACAATTGTGGTACTTGATTTCTCTAAAGAAGAGTTAATATTCCAGTTGAAATAAGTTGCTTCATTTTTCATTCTCCATTTTACTCCACAAAGTTGACAAGCTAAATTTTACTTGGATCAAAGCCATAAAACATAAACAAGTCATTCTTTAAGGAAATTTATTTGTACTGTTACAACAGGGAAATGGTATGCGTTTGTGTAAACCATATTTTTATGAAATGGATCTTTGTATCAAATTCTTTTTAACATAGGCTTGTTGTTGCAACATTTTTCCTGGATTTTTGAAATCCAGCCAATATGAATACCTCTGCTACTCTTTGTCCTTCATAGCTGCTTCCTCTCTCAGACGAGCTTTCCTTTCTAAGTTCATGCTTGTTAAACTCTCGTGTCTTTTGGCAGCCTAAAGTGAAACAAATTTGAACAAGTGATTATTTATGCCCATCCGGGGAGGATGCCATTACTTTGCACTGATGACAGCAGGTTAACCAGGGCTGTAGAGGTATGGGGTGGTTTGCTGCATGGACACTGGGCACAGCGGTCTCCTCCAATGCTTCAGAGAACAGTAGCTCATCATTCAAACAAGAGAAAAAGTGCCTTCCCTTCTCTTCCTTTCTGGCCCTTTCTTTGTCTCTTTAGCCTCTCTTTCCTTTATACTTTACTCCCACGTCTTTCCTTTTTTCTCTCCTGCTTCTCTTCTATATTAAAAACCTTCCCATTTCCATTTCTATCACTTTTTTCTCCTTTCATCTTTCTTGGTTACTACCATTTCTCCCTCTTCAACTCATCTGTATCCTTCTACACTGTTCTAGCTCCTCACTCTTTTACCAAAAACATTCTGCTTTGAGAATCCCAGTTTACCAAAAATACTACCATGGATGACTTCGAGTGCTACTTATCCTACAACTCCATCCTTTCAGTGAGGGAGGCAACTGTCCTCTTCCCCTGTTTCCCTCCATGTGAACTGTTACATTTCTATGAAGCATACATAAACAGACCAGTGTTTTGTTTTGTTTTGTTTTGTTTGAGACAGAGCCTCAAGCTGTGCCCCTGGGTAGAGTGCCATGGCATCACAGCTCACAGCAACCTCCAACTCCTGGGCTGAAGAGAGTCTCCTGCCTCAGCCTCCCAAGTAGCTGGGACCACAGGCGCCCACCACAATGCCTGGCCATTTTTTGGTTGCAGCCGTCATTGTTGTTTGGCAGGCCCAGGCTGGATTCGAACCCGCCACCTTAGGTGTATGTGGCTGGCGCCTTAGCCATTTGAGCCACAGGCGCTGAGCCAACAGACTAGTTTTAAGACTTTTATACTAAATAAGTGAAACTAGCACCCTAAGCTGGTATTTTTTTTTTTTTACATCTATGTCATTCCATATGAAAAGAATTAGATATGTGAAGGGGGAGGAGAAGGGGAGTGTGAAGTTGATAGAACAAAACATAATGACTAATATGACTAATTTCTTTCTTCCAAATCATACTAAGTTCAAAAGTTCTCCATTCTAGGCTTGGCACCTGTGGCTCAAGTGGCTAAGGCGCCAGCCAATACACCTAAGGTGGCGGGTTCGAATCTAGCCCAGGCCTGCCAAACAACAATGATGGCTGCAACCAAAAAATAGCCAGGCATTGTGGCGAGCGCCTGTGGTCCCAGCTACGTGGGAGGCAGAGGCAGGAGACTCGCTTGAGCCCAGGAGTTGGAGGTTGCTGTGAGCTGTGATGCCACAGTACTCTACCCAGGGGGACAGCTTAAGGCTCTGTCTCAAAAAAAAAAATTTAAAAAGTTCTCCATTCTAGTAGCATTTGCCAACTTTTGGGAAATGGAAATTCCATAAAAGGTAAATATTAACGATTTTATGATACAGAACAGGAGAGGAACTCCATAGCATATGTACTTGGATAATGCTAGAAGAGATCACAGGGGAATAATTTGCTTCTGGAGTATTTAAACTCAGCTTGTACAGTCAAATATGCAAAGATAATGCATATTTCTTGGAATTCTAGAATTTGCTTCTGGAGTATTTAAACTTATTGTATAGTCAAATATACAAAGATAATGCATGTTTCTTGGAATTCTATGTCCTGTCCACATGCTTCTGTAGGTTTCAATCTGAGAACTATGCATGGGAGGTCAGAGAGGGAGACAGAAGAAAAATCTAAGTGGGTTAGGAACAGAGCTTTCCAGAGAACTTCACCCAGGTCAGCACACTTGCCCTTTCATACTCACATGAGGTCAGCCTAAAATGGTTGCTACCATTTCTCCCTCTTCAACTCATCTGTATCTTTCCACACTGTTCTAGCTCCTCACTTTTTTACCAAAAACATTCAGCTTTAACATTCAGTTAAATGGTCAATGTTTCCATTTAACTGCAAGTCTGTCTAAAGAGAGCCAAAAGTTCATTTCCCTTTACTCTGTGGAGTCACGGAGAATAAGGAAGTCAGCTAATAGTGGGTAAGTAGGAGAATTAATTAGTATTTGATAATAGTTATAAGACATCTCTCTTTTCACATGGGTTCAGTGATACAAGACATAGTATTTTTTTTTAAGAGACAGAGTCTCACTTTGTCACCCTTGGTAGTGCCCTGGTCACAGCTCACAGCAACCTCCAACTCTTGGGCTTAGGTGATTCTCTTGCCTCAGCCTCCCAAGTAGCTGGGACTACAGGCGCCTGCCACAATGCCTGGCTACTTTTCGTTGCAGTTTGGCCGGGGCCGGGTTTGAACCCACTACCCTTGGTATATGGGGCCAGTGCCCTACTCATTGAGCCACAGGCACCACCCATAAGACATAGTATTGAAAGAAGAATTTGACCAGTGCTGCTGAAAATAACTTTATCTATAGTATAGCATGACATTTGTTAATCTGCAAACTTGAGTCTAATTTTTATATTGCCACTAACTAGCTATGCAAGTTTGGGAAAATTATTTAACATCTATAAGCTTTAGGTTCCTCTTTTATAAATCATAGTAATAAGAGAACATACCTCTTAGGTTCTTAGGGTTATTTTTATTATTATTATTATTATTATTTTGCAGTTTTTGGCTGGGGCTGGGTTTGAACCCACCACCTCCGGCATATGGGGCCAGTGCCCTACCCCTCTGAGCCACAGGCACTGCCTGGTTCTTAGGGTTATTGTGGTGATTAAATGAACTTAATAGTAATTGCTATATAATGAGCCCCCAATAAATGGGAACAATTTTACTATTACCTCAAATTAGGTCTAGCTTCACAGTGTAGGACTGCCATTAAGGAGATGCGTGGGATCTGGCAAGTTAGTAAAGCTTTCTAAGCTATGGTTGCCTCCATCTATAAATGAGACCCTAATAATAATACCTATTTTTCAGTGTTTTTGTGAGGTTCAAGTGAGATAATAGCAAAGTATTTGGCATGCAGTGAGTATTCAATTAGTAATAGCTATTAACTATAATTGGCATTAAAACAAAGATTTCTGGGCTTGCATTCCTTTAATTTGGCTGAGCTTCAAATAAAGAACAGGGATAAGAATGCTCACCATGATTAAGGTAGTTATAGGGAAGATAAATAAGCCCATATACTGAGAGAGCTTTGTAAAATGTGCAAAGGTTTATTAATATGTCAAGGTTATACTTTATTTTTGAGGCAGAGTCTCACTTTGTTGCTGTGGCTATCAGCCTAACTCATAGCAATCTCAAACTCTTGGGCTTTAGTGATTCTCCTGCCTCATCCTCCCCAGTAGCTGGGACTACAGGCACCTGCCCCAACACCCAGCTATTTTTTTTTTTTTTGTAAAGTAGAGATGGGGTCTCAATCTTGCTCAGGCTGGTCCTGAACTCCTGAGCTCAAGTGACCCACCTGCCTTGGCCTCCTAGAGTATTAGGATTACAGGCATGAGCCACTGCACCCAGCCAATGTCATATTTCTTGATTCACATTATTTATGACATCTGTGATAATAAAAACTTTTCTTTTTTACATTATACAAAATGAATTTAAACCTTCCAATGGCAAAGTTAGGATTTGCTATTTATTCCAACCATGATATCCCAGGGTTGTTCCTAATATATCTTATTTTGTTTCTTATCATTTTCCATGTATAATGTAGCTGCTGCTTCTCTGAGAGTAAATACAAGGGTCAATCCCCAATTTCCTGCAGGTCTTTTGGCGGAGAACATACAGAGATAAAAAGGAAACCCATTCTCACCTTCTTGCCTTCAATAACCATCAGGATACATCCTGCCACTGTCAGGGCAATCATTACATAGCTTATCTTCACACGAATCTTATTCTTGGCAGCATCAAGCATCTCAAAACTAATACAATGAAATAATGAAAGAAAGTTATTAACTTTTTTCTTTAAGTTGTAACAGGATAAAAATCTCTGTGTACAAACCAGAAGTTTACTGGTGGCTACATACATATATAAAAAAGGAGTTAGGGCCTAGCTATCTCCTAAGATTTGGGGGAGGATGGGACATTTTTCATAACTCATTTATATATAAAATACAAGATAGTACTACAAATTTAAAGTAGTACAAAAGAAGAAAAGGGTGAAGACAGAAAAAGGAGTCAAGAAGGAAACAAAAAAGGCAAGGCATATTAATCTATACTTGCTGTGGTGGGCTCCAGTTTTGACTTTCAGGTTTCTAGCGGCCGATGAATGCTAAAAGTGAAACCATTAGCTATTTATTTCTCCCTGGGGTTCTTAAGAAGATGTTATAATGATTGCCTGAAAACATCTGACAACAGATACTGCAAGGTTTAAGTTTCAACACAAAGCAGGATTCAGAAAGAAAACAAACATGAGAGACAAACAATGTGTTCTATCTATCCAGCTTTTTGCTCTCTATCTTGAACCAGGAATAGATCTGAAAATATCTGAACCGTAGAAAGTTCTCTTAAGCAATACCCCCTTAGTATTTATCTTTTAACTAATGTTTTGCTAAGATTCATTGACAGTGAACTTGATACTATGCTTTCGGCAAGTGCCTCAGTATACAGCTCTTCTAAGAGCTTTATTCCTGTCCAGTGAATAAAGACTCATGTACAGGAAGTTGAGGACTGGATAATCATTTTTGTGTGAAAGGTAAGAGGCCTAACATGGAAGAGTCTAAAGAAACAGGCCACTTTTGGTGGTTTACTGCAACTAGACAGTGGGGTCATTCTTTTAAAGAGAGGGGATCTCACTATGTTGTCCAGGCTGGACTTGAACTTCTGACCTCAAGCAATCCTCCCGCCTCAGCCTCCTAAGTAGCTGGGACTACAGGTGTGCACCACCATGCCGAACATTCTATTACCTGGGTGCCTGGTAAAAGACTCAAGGCTGAGCATGTGGAATACTTGTGTGCTAAAGAATTTCTGGCTCAGTAGATGTGTAAATAGGAATTATTTCTAGATGATAAGGCTGAAGTGCTTCTTGCCTTTCTCCCCCTAGATATTTAACATATATTACTTTTAAAATCATAGGGGTTAAATATGCTTGGAAGGAGGCACAGGGTCTAGGATGTTGCAGTAGGAGAAGGACCCTAAAAGCATATAAAATATGATGTACACCAATGAGGCAGCATGTAGATGGAGTTCTCCAGGTACTGCTGGGCCTGCAGGGTGGCAGGAACCAGGGTCAACTGCAGTTAAGTAATACTTGTTCAGAACCACTAGCACAGGCTAGTACAGTCCAGAGAATCTTCCAAGGTGACTAGTGACAGTATTTTGGGCCTAAGTGGACCTTAGAACAAACTATGAGGCAGACCAAGGAAGATGTTACGTACCAATGTCTACACAGCATTTATTAGGGCCAAGGATATATACCAGCTTATTTTCTGCTGGGATATTGATTTTTTTATTTTATTTTATTTTTTGAGACCAAGTCTCACTCCCTTGCCCCGGGGTTGAGTACCATGGTGTCATAACTCACAGCAACCTCAAAATCTTGGGCTCAATTGATCCTCTTGCCCTGGCTCCTGAGTAGTTGGGACTACAGGCACCTACTACAATGCCTAGCTATTTTTAAAGACTAGTTTTTTGGTTGTTTTTTTTTTTTTTTTTTGAGACAGAGTCTTACTATGTCATCCCTGTAGAGTACTATGGTGTCACAGCTCACAGCAACCTCAAACTCTTGGGCTTAAGTGATTCTCTTGCTTCAGCCTCCCAAGTAGCTGGGGCTACAGGTGCCCACCACAATACCCGGCTATTTTTTGGTTGCAGTTGTCATTGTCGTTTAGCTGGCCCCAGCCATGTTCAAGCCCACCAGCCTCAGTGTAGGTGGCTGGAGCCTTATCCACTGAGCTACAGGCACTGCTGAGACTAGTTTTTTTTTTTTTTCTATTTTTAGTAGAGACAAGGTCTTGCTTATGTTTAGGCTGGTCTTAAACTCCTGAACTCAGGCAATCAATCTGCCTAGCCTTTCAGAGTGCTAGGATTACAGGCATGAGCCACTGCACCCAGCCCATGCTGTGATATTCTGGAAGAAATTAGAACATAGGCAAGAACTTCAAGTCCTTGTTATTTTGGATATTTTTTTTTTTTTTTTTTTTTGAGACAGAGCCTCAAGCTGTCCCCCTGGGTAGAGTGCCGTGGCATTACAGCTCACAGCAACCTCCAACTCCTGGGCTCAAGCGAGTCTCCTGCCTCCGCCTCCCAAGTAGCTGGGACCACAGGCGCCCGCCACAACGCCTGGCTATTTTTTGGTTGCAGCCGTCATGGTTGTTTTGGCGGGTCCGGGCTGGGGATTCGAACCCGCCACCTTAGGTGTACGTGGCTGGTGCCTTAGCCGGTTGAGCTATAGGTGCCAAGCCGTATTTTGGATATTTTTTAATGTCAGTATCACCTTGGCTGGTTCCACGTTATGTTATCATTTGCAGAAGAATAAACAGTATTAACGAAAATAATGTGCTACTTGACTAGCAGAAGCAGAAAGGCTCTAATAAAGCTGTTCTAAACAGAAAGCAAATACTACCTCTCTTCTTAGAAAAGATACCCTTAATGAACCCAGATCTTTTCAATCATGTTTTGAAAGTAGAAACCACAGGAACAGTTTCTCACTAAAAGGGAACTTCCAGGAGCTTTTTCCAAAGTCCTTGTCCCTGAAGAGGATGATGCCCCACAAGGTAGATAGCACCTATTTCTCAAACTCTCTATTGGCCAAGATGCTAACTAATCCGGGTCTTTAACATGGGCCTACGGTATTGGTTCTCAACAAGGGGTGATTTTGCCCCCAGGGCACATTTGGCAATATCTGGAGACATTTCTGATTTCCACCACTGAGAGAATGCTACTGGAATCTAGAGAATAAAAGCTAGGGATGCTGCTAAACATCCTACAATACACAGGACAGCCCCCTACAACAAAGAATTATCCAGTCCAAAATGTCATTAGTAACAAGGCTGAGAAACCTTGAGTTGGAGGAACCTAAACTCATCATCTACAAACTCTGAAAAAAACGACTCAAGATCCTGGGCAAGGCTAAGTTTAAAGAATTTAAGGGTGCCAACAAGTGGCACCCTTTCCTGAATCCCAGAAAAAGAATGTGTTACATTTAAATACATTTATGCCTAAGGTTGAATATTTAAGTGGATTTTGTAAAATATACTTATTGTCACTGGTACCTAATTGAAACATGCAAATTGAATATAAATTTAAAAAGTTGTATTTCTGTAACTAGGAGATGAATTCAAACAGTTGATTTTAGAGTACAGGGTGGCTCTTCACTAGTCATAATGTAACATACCAAGACATCGGTTTTCCAGCACTATTTTTTTTTTTGTAGAGACAGAGTCTTATCCAATTCCTGGGCTTAGGCGATTCTCTTGCCTCAGCATCCCGAGTAGCTGGGACCACTGGTGCCTGCCCCAACACCTGGCTAATTTTTTTGTTGTTGCAGTTTGGCTGGGCCAGGTTCAAACCCACCAACCCTCAGTATATGGGGCCGGCGCCCTACTCACTGAGCCATAGGTGCTGCCCACCAGCACTTTTTTTTATCATAAGTACTTACCAAAGACAAAATACTTAGAGAAGTGAAAAATGTTTTCAAATTTGATTGAAAGGTTTTAAAGAAAACTCAGAGAAATTGCTTTTCCCTTAAAACATATCAGTGAGAACTGAAAGCTGCTTACAACCCTAAATTCAGCACTCACGAGATGGTCTCTGGGATTTCATCTTCCTTTTTGAAGCGACCTGACCATATCAGCATCTTTTTCTCCCAATCCGTGGGTTTGTGTAAAGGCACTCTGTGGCTGTAGGTGTCTATGAGAAAAACCAGACAAGAAATCTTGAGATCATGACTCTCAGATCTAGCAACAGAAAAATGCTGTTTGTGCATTTTAGCTAGTCACTAACAGATACACTGAAAAACCTCAAGTTATTTAGAGCTTTATTTGAATGGAATTTCTTAGGATGCCTCATTTTCCTAATGAGATTCCAAAATTCCATGAATACAAAGTAAAACAAAAGCATTATTTCCCAATATAAGCCCTACCCATGGAAAGTTGAAAGAACGCTGTGAACAAAAATAAGGAAGTAAGGGTGAACCAAGAAGGGAACAGTTAAAGAGATTATCAGACTTCAGCAAAAAAAGAAAGTTTCTAAGGTAAGATCAGATTCTAAAAGAGCTTGAATATGAGGCTTAGGAGTTTAGGCCTGGTTTGGAACTACTGTACATCTTTGAAGCAAGAAAGTTAATGTTTAAGGCCAGGTGTGGTAGCTCACGCTTATAATTCTAGCACTTTGGGAGGTAGAGGTGGGATGATTACTCGAGCTCAGGAGTTCCAGACCAGCCTGAGCACGAAAAAGCAGCCAGACACTGTAGTACACCCCTGTAGTCCTACATACTCAGGAAGCTGAGGCAAGAGGATCACTTGGGCCCAAGAGGTTGAGGTTGCTGTGAGCTATGGTGCCATGCACTCTACCCAGGGTAACAGAGTGAGACTCTGTCTCAAAAAAATAAAAAAAGGGGGTGAGCTAATGTTTCAGGAAGATTAATAGGCACAAGGGATGATGGAAGAGAACAAGAAGGGGGTAGGGCAAGGTGGGCACAAAGTCCAGACAGGAGACTGGATCACAAGGGTGAGGTGATATGGTCTGAACCAGAATTATAACGGTGGAAAGAGAGATGAAGTCAGTCTAGGGATAACTGAAAGAATTTAGAAACCAATTAAGTTGAGACAAAGAAGAAGAAAGAAATCATGAAGAAACTCAAACTTAGATGACTAAAGTGACAGCAGCACTGTTAACCAAAAGAAGACTGTGAAAGGAACCAGTTAGGGAAGGAAAGAGCATGAATGTTATTCTAAGATTTGTGGAGCCTAAAGGGAATTTATGCTGAGTGGGTTTCATTAAAGGGTCATGAAGAGAAATAAACATCAGTGCAAAAGGAGAGCCAGTGAAGGTGACAAAGAGGAGCAAAGGCCAAGGGTTAAGCCTTGGCATGATCCAAGAGAGGAGGTAGGAAAAAGAGGCAGAGAAGTGCCACAGTGTGCCACAGAGGCAGATGAGCAAGAAAAATACAGAATCAAAAACAACAAGAGAGAAAATTTTTTAAAGAAATTAGAAGTCACTGAAGTTATGGAGCAGAAAAAAGCTAGACAGAGTGTCAGAGTTAGATGTGGCCTCCAAGCTCATCTCAATCCAACTTCCATCTACTGCCTACCTCTCTCCTGCAGACAGATCATCTCCTTGACTGTTACTGACATGCCACATACGTTCTTACTGCCACAATTTCACTTATGCTGTTCCTTTCACCTAACCAGAAGGCAGCAGAAAAAGGAACAGGAAAGTGATAGGAGCAACACATACGGAAAGAACCAAAGGCAAAGCAACAGGCTTAGAAATATAGAAATAGCACTACTTCTAGTCTTATCTTTAATCCTTCCAACACGTGGCACAATTCTCTGTATAGTTATTTTTTAAAGACTATTCAAAAATTACAGACATGAAAAAATAAAAAAAAACAACTCCCCTTAATACTATTGTCACAGCATTAACTACTGTATTTAATTTTGACATGCTTCCTAAGTTTCATCATGAGGATGAGCATGAGCATGTGTGTTTATGTATATTTGTGTGTAATTTTTATTCTTTTTTTTTTTTTTTTAGAGACACGGTCTTCCTGTCACTCAGGCACAATTAGTCTGATTATAGCTTAATGCAGCCTTCAACTACTAGGCTCAGCCTCCTGAGTAGCTAGGGCTATAGATGCATGCTAGTATGCTTAATTTTTTAATTAATTAATTCATTAAAGGGATGAGGGTCTCACTATGCTGCTCAGGCTGGCCCTAAATTCCTAGCCTCAAGCAATCCTCTGACTTTAGCCGCCCAAAGTGCTGGGATCATAGGTGTGAGCTACCATTCCCCGCTGTGTGTGTCATTTGTATGCATCATGCTTGTTCTTACAGTAGAAGTCTGTGTCCTGCTTTGTTCATTAACATTATAGTAAACATTTTCCATACTACTACACTCTAGTCTCCCTGGCTAGACTGCAGTGGAATCATCAGAGCTCACTGCAACCTCAAACTCCTGGGCTTAAGTGATCTTCTTGTACTCAGCCTTCCAAGTAGCCGGGACTACAGGTGTGTGCCACAATGCCTGGCTAATTTTTCTAGTTTTTGTAGAAATGAGGGTACTTGCTTTTGCTCAGGTTAGTCCTGAACTTCTGGCCTCAAGCAATCTTCCCATCTCCGTATCCCAAAGTGCTAGGATTACGAGCACGAGCCACCTCACAGGTGAGATATTATGCAGCTATTGGAAACCATTGATGATAATATTTCATCACCAAGTACATCTAATATACACTAATCATTCCTGATTTGACATTTAGATTTATTTCTAGTTTTCCATTACGTATAAAAAATGGAAGTATATTAATACTCAAAGCTTTTTCCACATGTAGTAATTATTCTTTAGACTAGACCAGCTCAAATGGTATATATATTTTTTAGCTCTTGATAAACATCCTTTGGGAACAGTTCCTTTCTACTTACAAGATATGCTTGACCCAAGTGTACTCCCATGAAGAAAAAACAGGCAAATATCACCTAGCACTCAGCAGTTTACATATTATATCTATTTTTCCATAGTGGTGATAGTGACAAAGTTTAGAATTAGGGACAGAATTGGATGTGGCTGAAGTCAATTACCCAAAACATAATTTCTTAATTTGGTTCATCTCTGGGGTTCCTTAAAAGATCATTTCTAGACTACTATTTAGTTCATCTATACTCTTAGAGAAAGCTCAAGCCCAACTCTTGAGATAAGAAAGAGATGAAAAGGATAAACAAGGAAAACAAAATCACTGTGTATGAGCATAACCAATGTAAGTACAATATGGGAGGCCTGCACTATATGAGAGGGTATGAATAGACCAGCTCAAATAGTTCTGTTAAGTTCTTCTAAGTTTTCCTACTTTTTGTGTGCTACTTACCCCACAAATGGAAAAAAACCAATAAAAACTTACGGGATGGAGCTCTGGCACTTTCTTGTGGTTTGGTGCAAAATCCAATTATTCTCTTCAAATCAGTGTTTCTGGTAAGCCTTAGAGATGAATAAACATCTCTTTCATATAACCTTAAACAACTTCCTAGAAAAAAGAAGAAAATGTTTCAAAGAAAGAATATTTGATGTTTTCTCAAAATAAGAAATGCCTGCAATTTATATATTTCACTTATAAATTGTAGCTCATTTATAAAACAAATATATGCACATACTAGCTGTAAGATACAGCTCATCTATACTCTATACTGTTATTTCAGGTGCTATGCTTGGTTTTGTGATAAAATGTTTTAGTGATTAGGAATTTACAACATGAAAAATTTCATCTGCTGTAACTTTTATATAAGTACTTCTCACATATATCTTATTGTAATAGTAATGGCTCAAGTGACAGCATTATGTTTTATGACACCCATGCTGTTTAGGTAAAGATAAGCAACCTGCCACAAGTGATAAACTAGGTCACGGTGCTGCCAATACTATTTTGGTAAACTCTGGGTAGGGAGCTGTTGTGGCCAGCAAGTAGCTCTAGAAGGCCGCTCATTCCAATCCATAATTAGAAATCAATTTTAGATGTAGTTATGAATTATGTGTAATTTTAAAACTATGTATTTATAAATAAATGGAATTTTGTTTACAGTTAGCTTATGCTAAATAGGTGCACAAACTGAATATGGTTGATGCTTCCTGAATTTCTTTAAATCTACAATCTCCCTGTCCCTTTAAACATTTTTTTGTTATTCATTTGTTGAAGAAATTATGTCATTAGTATGTCATTTCCTCACTTTAGATTTTGCTAAAATCTATGCATCCCCATAGTGTTGTCTTAACATACTCTTCTAACCCCCTTATTCCTTATCAACAGTTTTGAGGCTTGATAAAATTCAGATTAGAGTTTTGCAACAAGAATATGCCATAGGTAGAACTACGTACTTCCTACTGCATCACCTCAAGAGGTATATATCAACTTTATCTCTTTGTGATACAAAGTACTTCATCAGCTTTTCATGTAATATTTTTAGCAGACAGTGGTAATCGTTACCTAGATCAATTACTTCATTAGGAGTTGCAAAATGGTGATACATTTTTTCACATCAACTACTTGGTCATCCTAAGGTAGCATGGAGCAATAAATGCTTGACTCTTTCCTTTTATTTTATCAGTTTTCAAATGAACAAACTGGTTTTCCTGCAACATCCATGAGTGATCTTTTGTTTGAAAGTAATGTAAAACTCTTGCATTTTAACACATGATGTGCTCCAGTCCGTTTCAGTTATTCTTTCTAATGCTCAAATGTTCCCATCTTCACTCACTGGTAACCCTTCCAAGTTGGCTCCCGAGTCCTTTTAACATATGCTCAGTGGTCACTAATAGCAGCTTCCTTACTTTCTGACAAGATATTCCAGACTCATTTTAAGTATTCCCTGGCTCTGACTTGGAATTACACATTTTTCTGGTTCCTGTAAAGAGGAAATATTTTTTAGAGACCATTTAGCCAGGCTTATTTTTGTTACTATTTATAAGCCTTTTCAGTAAACAAAGCTAGGAAATACATACCTTTGGAAAATAAAATGCACTTAAGAAATAAAGAAATGCCCAAAACTTGCATCTAATGCAGCAAGACTGTCCTCACTGCTTTGTGATTAAAGATAATTTGCTAGTGGGTAAAAGATGGGCAGAACCTTTATTTCCTCACTTTTTTTTCTCTTGCTGTTAAAAAAAATCTTTTGGAACACAACAATATAATTCCCCATCATAAAGTTTACTTTTAGAGTGTACAATTCAGTGGTTTTAAGTATATTCACAAGTTCTGTATTTACCATTATTAATTGCATAAGACTTTGATCACCCCAGAAAGAAAACTTGAGTATATCAGCAGTCACTTCCCGTTTCCTCCTTCCCCCAATCCTAGGAAGCCACTAATTCACTTTTAGTCTCTTACAGATTTGCGTATTCTGGACCTTTTATGTAAGTGGAATCATGAGATATGTAGCCTTTTCACTTATGATGCTGTTTTAAAAGTTCATCCATGTGGTAGCATTTATGGATACCCGATTTCCTTTGAATTGATAAATTGTATTCTATTGTATAGATATACCATTTGTTTACACATTAGTTGATGGACCATTTGGGTGGTTTCCACTTCTTGGTTATTAAGAATGCTGTTATAGCAGCATTTGTGCACAAGTTTTTGAGTAAACACATTTTCATTTTGGGGGGCATACAGTAAAGGTTGAAATTATTGAGTCATATGATAACTATTTATTCAATCACCTAAATACAAGACTGTTATTCCAGGTGGCTACACTTTACATTTCCATCAGCAATGAATGAAGATTCCATTCTGGTCCACACTTGTTACTGTCTTTTAGATTAAAACCACCCCAGTAGGGCGGCACCTGTGGCTCAAAGGAGTAGGGCGCCAGCCCCATATGCCGGAGGTGGCGGGTTCAAACCCAGCCCCGGCCAAAAACTGAAAAAAAAAAAAAAAAACCACCCCAGTAGGTGTAAAGAGGTATCTCCTTGTAGTCTTGGTTTGCATTTTCCTAATGAGTAATAATGAGGAGGATCTTTTTATGTGCTAACTGGCCATTTGTATATATTCTTTGGAGAAATGTCTATTTAGTTCCTTTGCCCATTTTTAAAACTGCGTTCCTTGGGTTTTTTATTGTTGTGTTATAAGAGTTTTTCCCTTATCTATGATTTGCAAATATATTCTCTCATTCCGTGATTTGTCTTTTCACTATCTTAATGATGTCCTTTGAAGTGCATAAGTTTATCGTTTAGATGAGGTCCAGTATATCCATCTTTTCTCTTATTGCCTGAGCTTCTGGTGTCATATTTAACGTCACAAAGATTCACTCTTATAAGAATTTTATAGTTTTAGTTCTAACATTTAGGTATTTGATTTTTTTTTTTTTTTTTTTGAGACAGTCTCACTCTCTTGCCCAGGCTAGAGTGCCGTAGCATCAGCCTAGCTCACAACAACTGCCTCCTGCCTCAGCCTCCTGAGTAGCTGGGACTACAGATGCCCACCACGACACTAAGCTAATTTTTTCCATTTTTAGTAGAGATGGGGTCTGGCTCTTTTCAGGCTGGTCTTGAATTCCTGAATCAAGCAATCTTCCCAGCTTGGCCTTCTAGACAGCTAGGATTACAGGCATGAGCCACCTCACCCAGCCTCTGTGATCCATTTTAACTTAATATCGGTAGATAGTACATGGAAAAGATCCAAACTTGTTCTTTGAAACGTGGATATCTACCTCTCCTAGTACCATTTGTTGAAAAGACTATTCTTTCCCTCACTGAATTGTTTTGGCACAATATAGAAAATTAATTGACCATAAATTTTTATGAGAGTTTATTTTTGGAATTTCAAGTCTATTCCAAGATAGATCTGTGACATCTATCCTTACGTCTATACCACACTTTTTTTTTTCTAACCTCATCCTAGAGTTCAAAAAGCATGCTGTCTTGATTATTGTGGCTTTGTGGTTAAGCTCTGAAGTATGAGTTAAGAACATGAACTATGAGTTCTCCAACTTGGTTCTTTTTTTTCCTTTAAGATTAGGTTGCTTACTCAAATTTCCTTATGAATCTGAAAATCAGATTTATCAATCAGAATTTATCAATCTCTGCAAGGAATCCAGCTGATATTTGTTTGGGATTGTGTTCAATCTGTATATTGGGATCGACAAATATACAGATATTTGGGATGTTTTTCCATTTATATGGGTCTTTTTTAGCTTCTTTCAACAGTGTTTTTCTTTTTTCTTTTCTTTTTGTTTTTTTGCAGTTTTTGGCCGGGGCTGGGTTTGAACCTGCCACCTCTGGCATATGGGGCCGGCGCCCTATTCCTTTGAGCCACAAGCGCTGCCCTTCAACAGTGTTTTATAATTTTCACAGTATATATCTTATACTTCCTATGTTATTCTTTTTGAAGTTACTGTAAATGGACTTTTCTTAATTTGATGTTTGGATTATTTATTGCCAATTTATCTTGTAAGCTACAAACTTGTTCAACATTCAATCTAATAGGGTATGTATATGTATTCCTTAGGATTTTCTATATACATGATCATGTCATATGGAAATAAAGGTAGTTTTGCTTCTTTTCCAATCTCTTATTGTTTTACCTGCCTACATTCTCTAGACAGAATACACAGTATGGTACTGAATGAAAATGTTGAGAGCGGATATCCTTGTCATGTTATGAGGGAAAGCATTCAGTTTTTCACCATTAAGTGAGATGTTAATTGTGGGTTTTTCCTTTATCAAGTTGAGGAAGTTCCTTTTATTCCTAGTTTCTGAGCATTTTTATAATGAAGGGGTGTTTGATGTTATCAAATACTTTTTCAGTATCTACTGAGTTGATTTATATCTGTTACTTTATTATAATTTTTATTTTA